CGGGCACCATCAGCTTTCTTCACCACATTTGCTTATTCACCCGCTTTGTCTTCAGCGGTTGCGTGCTTCTTTTCTCTGACATAGTTTGAATACTATTGGTATGAGCTCCCTTCTGACTGTTTGGTAGAAGCTGCCTAGGGTGGAGCTTCTCTTTTTGAAAACTTCTTTCATTACTTTTTCAACCTTTTCTTTTGTTATGAATCTTTTCAGTCCCCCCACCACCCCCAGCTTGTGTTAGTTTATGTAGCCAGGTGCTTCTGGAGTATTTTCCATTTCCTCTAGACTTTCAAATTTGTCAGAATAGGTTTTTCATAGTATTCTGATATGATCCTTTTTATTTCAGTTGGTTCTGCTGAAATGTCATCGTCTTGTTCCTTATTTTGATTATTTGCCTTTCTTTCTCATTTTGATAACTCATTTGTTGATTTTATTGATTCAGAGCATCTTCTTCTGGTTTTGTTGATTCTCTCTGTTGTGGTTGCCATCTTCACTTATTTATTTTGGCTCTGTCCTTGCTTTCCTTTTCTCCAGTGGCAATGAACATATTTTGCTGCCGTTTTTAACATTAATTGGGTTGTAGGGCAAGTTTTTGATTTGACTCTTTATTCTTTTTGGTGTGTGTATTTATTATTACAAATTAACTTCTGATCACTGTTTTTTCTTGTTTCCCAAACGTTTTAGTGTGTTCTGTTTTACTTTTCTTTTAATTCTAGGATTAAAAATGAATCACTTTTAATTTATTCTGTTACCCAGTGGTTTTTTAAACAAGGCATTATTCAGTTTCTATGTGTCTGGTTTTTTCCTTTGCTTTTTTTTTTTAAATCAACTTCTATTTTTATAGCATTACAATTGTGCTGTTTTAATTGATGTTCTCTATTTTACTTCTCTAAGATCTGATAGCCATTGCAACGGCTACACAGAACTCACTGAAAATGTTCATGATTAAAATAGTTTAATATGGAAGTTAACAAGTTGCCATGCCAGTGAGAAATTCTCTGTGTTCAGTTGTTTATCAGAGGCATTACAAAGTTCTTTCCAGTCTGCTTAAAAATGTCCAAAGGGGGCATACATCTCCACTGTAAGCCACAATTCAAGTGCATTCAGTTCAAGCTCCATTGGTCAGCAAGCCCAGATACCTGAATTAAGTGCCCAGAGACGCACCACTCCAGTAAGCTTCAGCCCAAAGGCACTCAGCTCCACGTCTGTCAGCAAGTGCAGTTTCCCCAATTAAGTGCCCAGAGGCACCCCATTCTGAAAGCTGGCCTCCTACAGAAAAGCACTCAGCTTTCCTTGCTCTGTGGGCTGGGAAGTCCATCATTCCATGCTCTGGCTCCTGGTTCTGCTACTGCTGAACCAATTGATAGCTGTCTTCTGCATCCAGGAGGTTCACTGTGCTGGGATCTCAGGTCCAGAGGACCCACTCCACGCCTGGCTCTTGATCGTACCAGAATCCCTGCTCCTCTTCTCGAAGGGCTCATTTGATACACGACAGGAAGACTTTCCAGGGAGTCCTGTGAACAGTTACTCATCGGTGAATCCTACTGGCATCTTTCCCCACCTTCTTACCAGACCCCCATGTAGGAACAGGTCATTTGGTGGGATTCAGAGACATTAGTTAACGGAGCTACATTAAAGAATTCACTGCTCTTGCAGCAGTCATAGAAAATCTCCCGTATTCTTTTGATATTTTTGATTTTATTGAGTCTTGCTTTGTAGCCTGAAATGAGATCTGCTATGAAGAATGATCCATGTGTTTTGGGAGCATGTATATTTTTCTTCTGTGTGATGGAATGTTCTGTATTTATGTCTAAGCTGAGTTGGATGGTCATGACATTCGGCTCTTTTGTATGTTTATTGAGTTTCTAGTTCTGTCCTTCACTGAAAGTGGTGTGCTGAGCCCACCTACTACTCATTGTGAAACTGTCTGTTTCTCATTCCAATGATCTTGGCATTTTAATATATATATTATATTGGAGCTCTGGATTTGGGTGCATATGTATTTATATGGCATGTTCTCTTGGTAGATTGACCCTTTAGCCGTTGTATATGTTCCTTCCTTATCCTTTTTCCTTCCTTATCTTTTAGGCAGATTTTGCTTAAAATCTACCTTGTCAGAGATTCATGTTGCCCATCCTGCTTTTTCAGTGATTGGTGCTTGATATATATATCAATATCAAGATATGGAATATATATATTTCCATATCTTAAGCTTTAGCCAGTGTTTTAAACAGTGATTTGCCCCAAATTTGCACTTGAACGTTTGGAAGAATAGCACGGATCAAGTCAGCAAAATTGAAGAAATCCTTTTCTAACTTCTTCCCAATGGCCACATTTTTATTTAGCTGAGGCACATTTGCCAAAGGTCAAGGCAAAGTCAAGGACAACTGAACTAAAAACATGCTGTGGCATCATGTTTATCCTGTCTGCTTCTCTCTCCTTGGCCCTTTGACCTGTCAGAGGCTTGCCTCTCTCTGTTCTCTTCAGATGAATACATGCCCACAGTCTTGTTCCTTTAGGTGGTATTGGCTATGTCAGCTCATTACCAGGCCTAAGTGAGCATGGAAATTGGAGAGCTATGCACCCTGAATGAAGAGAGGAGTTAGTGGAAGGGTCCACTCATGGGCTGAGATGTCCAGCCAGGGCATTACATTGAGTGGTTTGGGTATATAATTGGCGCCGTTAAGGTGCAGCAGAATAGTACAAATGGGTGGCAGGTGTATGGCAGGGTTAGGCTCTCCCAGCGTGCCTCCTTCCTATGTGGGCACTAATTATTTACATGGACAGACCTTATTTAATTCTTCCATGATCCCTGTGGAGGAGTGTCTGCTGTATACCCGAGGAAACGGGGACTTGGTGGGGGGAGATCATTTACTCAAAGTCACGAAGTTGCTGATGGAGTGGAGGGATGCAGTGGAGACAGGACACAGCCCCTTTGAGGTCCAAGGTTTGCACTTCATCCTTTGTAATCATGCCTCACAAGAATCTGGTAGTATTTGGAGAAATAATAAGCAGCGGTCATTTGACCGTATATTCTTTAGGGTATTTTAGTCACTAAAGTACTTTGAGAATTCAGCAAATGATGGTTATTATACCTCGGGAAGATGTAGATTTTTATTTCACTTTGTTCCTTCAGCAGCTTGTAACTTTATCTCTTTCATCTGTTGGACCTGACATCTGTTAGATCTCATCTTAAAGCTAGGTGTCTTCTGAATTCAAAGACTTTTGAGAGAAACTATTCTTGTACAAGGAAAAATACTATTGTGGGAGAAGGCATGGCATGGGATTATATGATACTTAGGAAAATCAGGATTATCCATGGCAGGGGTAGAGCGAGGTGAGGCAGGGTTTGAGAGCTCTCGAGTTAGGGGCAAGCAAATCCGTTAATGAGATGCCACCGAGTTTCCAAATTACGAAAGCAGTGCTGCGTCTCGTGCACCCCATGTGCCCTCGGTTCTCTTGACCCCCACACTTGGATGTCTCCCTCTGGCGGGGTTGCTTTGGGAGGTCGTGAAGTGGGCAAAGAGAACTCTGATCCAACTATCTGTTAACACCAGCTTTTTAAACCCCCCACTAGGTTTTTGCCTCCTGTACTTCCACGTGTGCACGTGTTTACTGAGATGTTGACGGCGTCTTTCTCCATTGCTGTGGTCGCTTATGCTATCGCAGTGTCTGTCGGAAAGGTATATGCCATCAAGTACGATTACGCCATCGATGGAAACCAGGTACGGACGGTGCTTCTCTGAGCTAGCTCTGTCTAGAAGGGAGGACAACCTACACGGACAAAGTTGTTGTTGCCTCTCCAAGATGACATCACCTTCTTCTGACACTGGGTCCTTAGTGGGTTGGGCTCCCTCTGCGCTTGCTAGTTTTAAGTTATTTTGGAATGATGCTGCTGTATCACTTTACTTTTTTTTTTTTTAAGAAATCAGGTAAAGTAATCAAAGTAATAATTCTTCATGCAATCCAGTATCGCCTCTAGGTGAATTTGTGGTAAATGGCAGCTATTACATGACAAAACAGCAGAGCTCACACTGCTAATAAGTCCAGTGTGCACTTAATGCACACAGAACAATTTTTGTAGGCATATGAGGTGTATGCCTACCTCAGTGCCAGGTGAGCTGGCTTTGTATTGCTCATAAATCGGCAGGTCTGGAATATTTCTGAAAACACAGCATTGCAATTACAGCTATTACTAGATGATTACTAATGGAGCAGAATGGTAGCTCTCCTGGTCATACTAAACTTCATAACCAATATTCAACTACAGAAACACACTTTGGCTGAGAGCTGGGAAGCGTGTGAGGGCCGCAGTCCTAGGCAGTGAGATACGCCTTTCAGCAAAGGATCTGACACTCTCTCACCTCCGCCTTAAAAGCCAATGAGATATAGAGACAGTAACTGGATTGGTCATTGCTTAGGGGTGTGGCAGGGTGGATGGGAGGGAAGTGGGGAGCTAACAACAATGAGCACAGGAAGAAAATGTTCAGAAATTGATCACGGTGATGATTGCACAATTCTTCATTGTATGAATGAGCGATTAAATTGCATGATGTGTGAAGTATAAAAACTATTTTAAAAAATGTATTGAGAGAAGTGAGGTCTCACCTGGATTCCATAGAGTCTGACCTCCAGAGATGTCACAAGACCCCTAACACTGGACCCTTTAACATGAAAGAATCAGTGGGGGCCCTCAAGAAGGTGGGTCTGGTCGTTTGCTTTCGTAAACGGTCCGTGAGGGTCTTATAAAGGTTTTCTGGGCAGCATCACTATCGTCCAGTCTCTCTTTTAGGAATTTGTTGCTTTTGGGATCAGCAACATCTTCTCGGGATTCTTCTCGTGTTTCGTGGCCACCACTGCGCTGTCACGCACTGCGGTCCAGGAGAGCACCGGGGGGAAGACACAGGTAAGGAGGGACTGCTTGGGAAGACGAAGACATTCACCGGTGGTCATAAAGAGCGCGTCACGATGGGCTGGCACAGGCCTTTAGGGAAGGACAATTTGCCATTGAAAAGGGAGAGCCTTGTGCTGCCTGATGTGTCCGATTCTGCCTAGGCCTATCTGACTCGGTGGTCCGCTCCTTCACGGGAAATCACCTTAAAAGCAGCGTGTATGGCTTTGGGGTAAAGCAGCTCTCAAATCTCTTTGTATTGGGGTTCCCCTGGCAGATTGCCACACTTAGCTGTTTCCCAGAAACAGCTACGACCAAAAGGGAGTCCATCATGGAGGATGTTGTCGTAGAGAGCACGGATCGCTCACGGCACATGAGAACCCCTCCTGGCTCAGTAATTACTGTCTTTACCAGGAAAATGAAAGCGTGCCCACTTGCATTTCCTGTCCAAGGATCAGGATCCTCCTGTGCTCCCACGGAACAGTGGTGTAGAGCCAAGGAGATGTTTGTGGTGACATTTTAGCATGTCTTCCTCAGTATGGTTTTTGTTCCTGACGTTTGAATGTGGGATTAACTTAGCCTTTGAAAACTAGTTTTAAGGTGTCAGCTTCACAAAGGTGACCCCCCCCCCCAAACCCAGATCCTGTTAATCTCTGGATAACCCCTTACTCAATCAGCTCAAAAACCATTCTCAAAGGCAGACAGGGACGCAAATCCGCCAAACTGACAGGGGAGGCCAAGGGGCAGACTCTAGAATTGTGTTTATGTTATGCCTGGAAGACTTAATCCTCCCAACACAGAAAGAGCTATTATTTGCGACTCAGAAGTGCATTGAGACTGTAAGGAGACAAATCAATACCAAACAGCACACACACACATACCAAAAAAGAGTTGTATTGCATCAGCAACACTTACAAATGACCACAAAAGAAAATCATTGAGGAAATAACTCCAACAGTACTTAACCCAAACCAAACCCGCTGTTGCTTCCGATCAGTGATCCGATAGGTCAGGGTAGTATCGTTCCTTTTAAGACTGGAAGTCGGTCTCTACGGGAGTAGACAGCCGCATCTTTCTCCCAAAGAGCAGCCGGTGGAGCTGGTTATCAGCCCGACACTTAACTTGCTGTACTGCCAGCCTCCTTGGGCCTTCACCTGGGGAGCCTTAATTTCCCCTCCTGTACATACGATGCTCTTATCCCATGTGGGATGGATCTTCGACAACGTTGGAAGAATCAGCTTCTTCCAATTTCTTGGTACCTTTTGGACAAAAATTCTTATTTTCAGATGCCTTTTTTTTCTCTTTATAAGTAAGCTTATGTTTTATTTCATTTTTCCCTCCAAACACTTTTAGATCTGAGGGTGCGGGTAAATTAAGATAGCCGATCCCAAGAGGCATCATTAGAGATCTATGGCCAAGGGGCTGAGATCAGAACTCACAGCTGAAACTGTGCCTCTGTTCAGGCTGCAGCTGTCAGCAGTGGGAGTTTGTGCTGCTTGCTATTCAGACAGGGCATTGACAAGCTCTTCGGAGCACGTGGCCCTAAAGCGAGCAGAGGCAAATCCTGAATTGCTGTTGTGCACTCTCCTGTGCTTACCTCGGAGCTCAAGTGAGGCCGGTTGGCCTCCCCAATAAGAATTCCCATGAAAAGTGACCCTGTGGCAAAGGGCACTGGGGATAAATGGTGTTCTGGTAAGCTAATCTCCTTTGCACACACTGGCATGTATTATACTTAGGAATGAGGGATGCCAGGATTTCTGCATTGAAGAATGAGCCACACTGAGAAATGGCTTGATATTAATTACTGAAATGTATACTACATTCTGAGGTTAAAAGTCTAAGTGTCTGGACCAGCATCCAGAGACTCATGACCAAATCAATTGGCAGGTCTCCCCTTGTTGTGTGCCTTCTGTGAGGCTAGAACCTTAGATTTTGCATCTGTAGAGTGGGGAGCTACCTGAACCCACTTCTTAGAGCTGCCGTGAGGAATGAGGAAATGCTTGTAAAGTAGCAGCACACACTCACACATGTGCAGTGTTCCACTCACTAACAACTCAAGGCAGGAACAGAGTCTGAGCACGTATGGTACATATTTTGTGCCGAAGCACCCAGCATATGTTTGCAGAATGACTGAACGGAAAAACAAAGGCTAGTGGACATCGACACAAATTGTAGAAGACCAGACAGTGCAACCTGTTCCTTCTCCCTCACCCTCCTACTGACTCATGGAAAAGTAATTCCAAGGCTAAGCTCCCTTCTATCTGATTATGCTCTCGCTAAGAGAATAATTAATTTCCTAGTAAGTGAATCAGCTCATCTGTATAAAAGCTCATGTGTTTCCCTTAAGCCAGCCTTATGAAGTGAGGTATGGACCAGGAATTGGCCCCTCACAGAGGTTGACACAGTGAGCAGAGTTAGCTATTGGTCTGCATATGTCACAGGGGCTTCTTCTTGCACGTGCTTGACTGAGTCCGTGGGCTGTGGGCCCTGTTTCCAAAGCTCCATAACTCTAACCAGTTCACATGAAATCACAATAGCATATGGGTGACAATACACATTGGTATTTCCAAAAGTCATCCCTCTGCGGTCCGGTTTGATTCTGGCACACGTGGGGCTATCGTGAACTGAAGTCACCGTGAGTTGGAGGCACCATGGGTCAGGGTTACGATAAAGCGGGGAGCCATGACCTGGGGTCAACTGGATGGCGGCTGGTGGGTTAATTGCATGGAAGGACGTTGACCTTAAAAAGGGAGGACGGAGGACAGGAGGAAGAAATGAAGGGGGAATGTTGGCACCCTTGCTTAGAGTAGCAGAAGAGAAAGCTCACCAAGGTAGGGGGCACCCAGAGGTGTGCTGCTAGGAGTTACCACGGCCTAGGTAGGGGAGCCCAACCTACAGGGAAAGCTTTAGCCTTGTACACAGTCCTGCCTCGGGCTGACCGAAGTATGAGCTGTAAAGAAATGATTGGTTTTCCAATTATGACTATGAAATTCCCAGATGTTTCCTACTTTTCGATTTCCTTTTATCTGTGTCCTTTCACTCAACCATCCTGCGCGAGGTAGGAGCTGCCGCTCAACACCACCTTCTCTGCTGCTTCCTCTGATCACACTGCTTCCGGTTCCCTGTCTCCTCTTCTCCTTTCTTTCAGAACTTCTAAGCTTCCTTCAAAGGCCAGGCCCCAGCAGTCTCAACAGAGAATTCACTGCTCATCTAAGCAAGCCCGAGACTAGCCCCACCCCCAGCCTCTCTCCTAACTGTCTTAGGAGAGCTTTGGGGCAGTGAAGGTAAAGTCCCCCAAGCTTCCTGTCACCCCCCAGTCTCTGTCACCCAGTGGCTTTGCCGTCACTGCTAAGGGCTGCTGTGGGGTGGAGCTCTGAGGCTGCCCAGAAACTGCTGCCATGGAAATGACATGAACCAAGAGATATGGTCCCACCTTGTAATATGCTAAGGTGACATTTTGCACTTGTACCCTGGCTGGTAAGCTTGCTTTCTCGGAGGAGGCTTTCGTGGGAACCGTGTGCTCCGAGTGCACAGTGTTATCAGAGGTGTCAGGATGGCGGCGGCCTCACGAACGCGGAGCAATCAGATAGGAACTCCGGAGAGCCGTGAGAATTGGTTTCCCAAGAACTCCGCGGTGATCTGCCTTTTGGGAAGAGGGAGGAAAGGGGCCAAGGTTTCCTGCTATCTCACATGACCGGGGTGTCTGGTCTCCTGAACTGACATCTATCTGGAGTTCTTGGAGGGCACAAATGGTGGCATGTTCTGCTGCTCACCAAAAGGTTGGAGGTTTGAGTCTACCCAGAGGAGCCTCAAAAGAACATGGCAACCTACTTTTTTTGGCGGGGGGTGGGAAATCAGCCACTTAGAAGATATTCTCCTTAGACATACACCACGTTACCATGAATCAGAATCGTCTTCAGGTCAACTGGTCACTCTTACCTAATATGCCCACGGCAAGGCAAGGCCAATTGACTTGACCTCGGCAGGCGCAGAATGCACACATGCTTTATCTTCTCTGCCATCAACCACGAGATCGATTCTGACCCATTGCAATTCTAGGGGACGGCGTAGAACCGCCCCCCAAGGGTTTCCAAAAAATCATCATCTGCGCAAGAAAGCAGATCGCGCATCTTTCTCTTGTGGAGACTGGTGGGCGCAAGCCCCCAACCGTCTGGCCGAGCAGCCGAGCACTTCACCACTGGGCCCCCAGGGCGCCTCTCAGTCGGAGCTACTACGAGAAAGGTCTCCAAAGGGTTCATGGGAAAGTCTACTCTTTTTTCATTTTTCTAGTTCTTTTTTAAAAAATCATTTTATTGGGAGCTCATACAACTCTTATCACAATCCATACATACATCAATTGTGTAAAGCATACCCATACATTCGTGGCCCTTATCATTCTCAAAACATTTGCTCTCCAATCCTACTCTTTTTCTGTTCCATTTTCCCACCAATGTTTTGAAGGCCTCTTATCTCTGCTTTCCATCTCGTTTGGTGTTGTACAGACGCACCCCATCTCATGGTCACTGTTTCCTTTTTACAAACGCAGCACGATCTGTGGTCCCCGACGCAGAGCGAGCACATCCAACGGTGCCCGTTGCCTGACAGCATGTGCTCATTCATGTCTCTGTGTCACACGCCGGGCATCTCACAGCCGTCAGAACTCAATCATAACACTCTAGCACCTGTGGTAGACTTCAGTGTAGTGTGGACGTGACTTCTCGCTGCAATGGGGGGCGGGGGGCGCGCGAGGATTGCCTGACTCACTTGATTGATCTCGGTGGTCTGGAACGGAACGGGACCCTTACCCTACCTCTGAGCTTTGCCTGTGTCGTTCCAGCAAACGAGTCTCCTGTTTCTCCACAATATGAGGCGGAAGGGGAGGCTGGGAGTCATCGGGTGTGCCCCTGAACAGTTTCTCCCGCACACTTTCAGCAGCCCTGGCTCATGGGAGGTGTGTGTCTTTCAGATCGCCGGCATCCTCTCGGCCTTGATTGTGCTCATCTCCATTGTTGCCCTGGGGAAGCTGCTGGAACCCCTGCAGAAGGTACAGTCCTGCTTCTGCAAACACTGACTGAATCAAGTCCCATGCCTGCTCTGCCACCAGAGAATTAACAGGCAGGTGAAACTCATCACCTGGAAAACGAGTCCCCAGGATAACAGAGCCTTCCCTGTCTCTCTTGGCAGTCGGTCTTGGCAGGTGTTGTGATCGCCAACCTGAAAGGGATGTTTATGCAAGTGTGTGATGTTCCTCGTCTGTGGAGGCAGAATAAAATCGATGCTGTAAGTCACTTTGCTCCCCTGTTTCTGTGAAAGAACACTTTTCTCTTGCCTGCACCCTGCCACTTTGTCTCGGTGCCTCCTCTTCTCCTAACTACTACTTGCATGTTGGGAACCCTGGAATAAGATAGAAAGATGGTGTGGATAAACCAAAGCGAAGGCTTCCACTGGAGCTGCTTGTTGTGAAAGCCATTTCTCTGGGAAGGTCCGTTTTCCAGCAAGACTTCCCTAGAGGCTGTTCCTGACCTTAAAAAAAAATCCAAAAAAATTACAAACCTCCTATCTAAAGCCTCAAATTAAAAAATAAACAAACAAAGCAGACACAAACCCATGCAAGAGCAAAGAAGAAAACCAGAATGCATAAACCCAGGCTCGTGATAATCCTGATGAAAGCAACCTTCATAGCTTGTCTGAGGAGTGATTAAAATCAGAAGGGAAATTCTTTAGAGTTCTGCTCTCATTTAAAATAGAATAGAGAGAGAGAATGAGAAAACTTTCTATGTGCTGATTGCAAAAGATCCCAATCCGTTACATGAAAAAGAGATGTACACAGAACAGGAGCGAGTGCATATTTTGCTGGAAAGAGGGGAAATAAGATATGCTCTCTATTGAGGAACTTCAAAACGTTCATGGAAAAATGGAATGGGAAGAGGACGGAATTTTTTCACGGATTTTTTGAACCCCCTTTGTCCTCATATTGGCCTGTGTTTGCAAAAGGAAGTCTCGAGGAAAAGCCACTGCACAGACAGAAGAGAGCCGAGAAGTAAGGAGGAGGGCTGGAACCAGGTAGAGAGAGGTGGAAGATTCTTTTTGAATCATGCAAACATATTGCCTACTCAAAAATTAAATTAAACGATGAAATGGCACGGTTGGCCCTTACTGAACAGGCCAATTTCCATTTTCTATAAATGTGAAATAAAAAAATGTCAAACTTTGTTCTTGGATCCCTGACTATGGTTTTTATGAGGAGCCGCTCACGGGCTGATTTCTGAATGAACACCATTCTGTTTCCTTTCTGTCTGTCCCTAGGTGATCTGGGTGTTCACCTGCCTGGCGTCCATCATCCTGGGGCTGGATCTCGGTTTACTAGCCGGCCTTATGTTTGCGCTATTGACGGTCGTCCTGAGAGTTCAGTTGTGAGTAATATAAGAAACCTACCTTTTCCTGCGAACAGGTACTATACCCTGAATCAACATTTTATTTTGATTCATGCAGTGAACGATCAAGCCATTGTTATCACCACTGCTGAGTTGATTAGCTCGTGTCCATAGTATATGCAGCGGAATGAAAGTGTACCCATTCTGTAACTTCCTCATGGTCATTGTTCTTCAGACAGAATTCTATTTTAATCTTTAAGGGTTTTTTTTTTTTGGCTAATTATCAGAAGTAGGTCACCGGGTGTCATCTGGACGCTCTTCAGGTACCTGTCTATCCCAGATGGCCCTGTGGGTATTGGAAATGCCAGTGACATAGCTTCCAGCACCATAGCAACATGCGGGCCACCACAGTGTGACAAACCGACCGATTGGGGTGGCTATTTCACAATCAACAGCAAAGCAGAAACGAACAAAAGAAACCCCATTAGACCCAGTGGCATCGAGTTGATTCTGACAGAGTAGAACTGCCCCATAGAGTTTCCAAAGCTGTACACTGAATGGAAGCAGACTGCCACGCCTCTCTCCTGCAGAGCGACTATTTCGCTAACAGCCAGGCACTTAGCCTCTGCACCACCAGAGCTCCTAGGATAGTTACATAACAAATGCTTCTATGAATTAATGGGAGAAAGTCAGGGCTTTCTACTCCCATTTAATAGTTACAGTCTCGGAAACCCACAGGGGCAGTTCTGCCTGTCCCATAGGCCCCATAGGGTCGCTGTGAATCAGCATGGACTCAATGGCAGTGAGTGGGTCTAAGAATTAATCACACAGCACTTTACTTAGGTTATAATTAATCTCCAAACAAATCCTATGAACTGGTTTTATTGTTTTAATTCTACAGATGAGAGAACTGTCACTTAGAAAGAGTAAGAATCTTGACTAAGCTCACACAGCTAGTCAGTAGCAGAGCTAGGATTTCCACCCAGACCTATCTTACCCCAGATTCTGTTCGCCAGTCCCATGCTCGACTGCCATATTCCCCTTTGATGTCATCGTGAGGCAAACCCGCTGAGGTTGCTCTTGACATGTGGTGACCCAAGCCCTGGGAGAAGACGGCTGCTCAAGAAAGTCTGTCCTTGTTTGCTTTTGAGGCTCGGAGGTCACCAGTTCTGCGAGCCAGAGCAGGAGAACCTTAAAGTATTTGAGCGTAGCCAACATTCCTTCCAATCGCCCAAATAAGGCAAATACAAATGAACGCTAAGGCAAGCTACACAATTATGTGAAGCAGACAAAATCAGGTCATATGCAGAGGGAAGCAGCAGACACGATTTAACGGAACGGGAACAGCCTGAGCCTGTGGGGAAACGTTTGGGGCTCTGAGACTGGTGACTGGTCGGTTGGTTTTGTTTGGGCTCTTTAGGGGCTGTAACTGTGTGCCCTCTCGGGCTAAGAGCGGAACACAGCTTTCTCCCCACATCCTCCTCACGTCCATGGTCTTTCCAGACTTTGGGCCCCTTCTCTGCCTATGTTTGGGCTATGAAGGAGCAAGAAACCTGGGAAAGACCACGCACCGGGAGTTTTCAGCTGAGCCTAAGGCTGCCTCTCCCGCCCTGGCTGCCAACCAGTCCTCCTTCCTGCGTGCCTTCCTTTCCCTGGCACGTTGGTGCCTACCCAAAAGGCTTATGTTTACTGCCTTGGCACTCTTCAGCGGTTGCCCAGGGGCCCCAAAGAGGTCACAGACTCCCAAAGTGGCCAATTTGCTGTGAGGGAATGACTCAGAGAGCTGCCTCTCACGCGGCTGGGCCTTGTGGGTGGTGGCGAGGGAGGGAAGAGGACCGCAGAGTGAGACTGAGCTGAGGAGGAAAACGTGAGCTGAGGGCAGGTGGTGGCGCCTGTTGGTAGCTAGGCTGGGAGCCAACTCAAAGCAGCATCCTCCAAGGCATTCAATTTCCCATAATTACAGTGCGGCCCCAGAGAGCACGCGGGAGCCAGTACCCCCAACAAATACTCTTTCTTCACAAATTATGTTTAGCATTGGTTCCTAGCCACACTTGCAGAATCATGGGACTTCTCTGATTGCATCAGGAGCAGGAAATCTGTTGTCAGGAAGGACACAGAGTCTCCCCACCCCTACCCTCCTGCGCCAGTTTCCTATTTCTATCAGAGCTGACTGATTTGATTATTTGAAGGCTCCCCAGACTTCAGAAAGTCACCATCATTCCCGAAGGCCAGGCGCTGCGCCAAACCCTGAGGACCTTGCAGGTTGAAGAGAGGCTCTGAACCTTGGTTAGCTCATCTGAACAAAGGAAGACACTACTCCCCAACTTTCAGGAGGGTTACAAACCAAAATCCCAACCCCCAACTCGTCCTAGAGTTCATTCTGACTCCTCACCACCACCCTGTGGACCACCCAGGAGGACTGTGCTCTGGGGGTTCCCCAGAGCCACTGTGTGGCTTTGAACCGCCCACCTCCCGGCCAGCGCCATGTTTGCACTGCCCAGGGCCTGCCTCAAGGTTGTGGTGAGAGACTTAGCTAACATTAAGCATATGGGAAAGTCCCCATAAGAGGATATCCACGTGAGCGAGACTCCGGTCCTTCTTTCTTTCCGCCGGCAGTAGAGCCACGGCTCCCTCTTCTGCCCCTTCCCCACACAAACACCAGCTGCTCACTTCAGAGTTAGCGACGGGAAAATGTCACCGGCAAGAAAGAGGGAGGCTAAAAGCATCATGGGGATGGGCTCGTTAGTGGCTGCTATTGCTTCTGATTCCAAAAGATGCCTGATCCACAATCGCCCTGACCTTCCGTGTCCTTCCTTTAGTCCCGCCTGGAGTAGCGTCGGAAGCCTTCCTCACACAGACATCTACAAAAGTACCAAGATGTACAAAAATGTGAGTGCTTTTCCGAGACATTTGCTGTACATGGGTTTGCGCACTGGCAATTTCGGGACTCAAGTATCTTTTCAGCTGCCCAGGGACAAGGTTGCCCAAGGAGGAGACTCTGGCTTTGAGCCAAAGGCCATTCAGCCCTTGAGGGTGTTCGGGAAGCTTTGGACCCAGCATAGCATGCCCTTGCACCTCCATGATGTATATGAATTTTGTTCATATTAGTTGAATACCACTAATCTTTGCAGTCATTTTAATGTAAAACCATCATAAGAGGCGATTATTTTCAAAAATGGAATAAGATTTCCATTTCTCTGCTCTGTGAAGTCTGAAATCCCTATAAGATTTTCTTCATTCAATTTTCATATGGGACTTTCAGGTTCTCTGACACTAAGAACCTTACTTGACATTTTGCTTTGTCTGCGGAATGGGAAAATGTAATACAGTGAACCCTCGCCACTTCACGCTTCGACTTCCGCGGCTTCACTCTATCACGGTTTTTGCGTAACAGCGCATGCTCTGTCATCATGCCACTGATTGGCTCATACTGTACACACTTCTGTCTGCATCGTTACATATCAGAGCCACGTATCAGATGCATTTTTGCTTTTGTACAGTGTACTGTAATTGTTTGCGATTTTTAAGAAATTTTATCTAAGCCCTATGATGGCTCCTAAACGAGCTGCTTCTTCTAAGCCTTCTGACAATAAAAATAAGCGCCAGAGGAAGATGCTCACCATCCAGGAAAAGGTAAAACTTTTGGATATGATCAAAGATGGCAAGAAAATCGTGGAGGTTGCATGCCATTTTGACTTGAATGAGTCTTCCGTTCGCTCCATCCGTTGTACTTCATAATATAATAAATAATAAATGATAATTGTAACGTTCAAAATGTTTTACTGCAATTTTCCCTTTTCGTTTAATAAATTGGGTAATACGCGTGTAATGGTGACTAAAGGGTGTTTTTTCATGTCCTCTATGCTCTAACTAAGAAAATGTTTGATTTACAAATAAGGAATCCTACTTCGCGGAATTTCATTTATCGGTAGGGTCTAGAACCGATTAACCGCGATAAACGAGGGTTCACTGTATATAGTTTGGGAATGAAAAACAAACACCTGGAAGTCCTGATAAGTGGGCTGTGGTCTCAGCAAATAAGATTGCTTCAAGATCCCTAGGGAAATACACTGTAAATCAACATGAAGATGCAGAGAACAAACACTATGAAAAAAAATACCCCAGCAAAATAGTTTTCAAAGCTACACAGATCTGCGTGGTAGGTGTGTGTGTGTGTGTGTGTGTGTGTGTGTGTGTGTGGTGTTTTGATTTGAGTTTTCATGGGTCCTTGGGAAGTTGTAGTACATAGCATTAGACTCTGTTGGACACTGTACCGGTAATTCCAGGAAGGGCTGTTTTCTTTATTTCCACAAATCTATTTCATTTGTGTTGAGCCACATGCCTTCAAAAGCTACAAACCCATCTGGAGATGATTTCTGCCCCGGAACCAGCTGGGTTTGGGAGTTTGGGATTCTAGATTCAGCCGTAGGGAGGCCTCGCCCACTCAGCTGCTCAGTCTCCTCTTTTTCATCGGAAAGGGCTGGACTGAAAGATGCGCAGCTCCTTTGAGACTAGAAAGTTCTGTGAGCCCATGGTTTCTACTTTAGACTGTGGATCAAGATGTAAACCCCTCGATGACCTCATAGGCCTTGGCTTTCACAAACCTTCTTGCTTTTGCTATTTTTTCCTCCTTAGCGTTTTGGAAGAATTTTAGCAAAATTGAGAGGGCTAGTGATATGAACTTGAGGCAAGTCTTGCCACCGTTCTGAGCTGCAGCTTCTTTGTCTGGCAATGAGAGGGCTCCACGGGCTTTTTCCTCCGGCTTCTTCTCACTTGGACCCGCGATGGGACTGTGATTTGTTGGGCTCCTGCGACTTTGGTGCCTGGAAGGCAGCCCCTGGGTCAAGGAAAGTTAGGTGCAAGTGTGAGTCGCCAGAAATCTCATTGACTATTTGAGACTTAAAATTGTTTCACTTCAGACTAATTTTTGAAATTGTGATAAATGTATGCATAACAGAGTGTTTGTTACTTCAACACTCTTCCCCGTGGGCTTAATGTTGTTGTTTTCTTTCTCATGTTAGACCGAAGAAACTGAAGGGGTGAAGATTCTGAGGTTTTCTAGCCCAATTTTTTATGGCAACATTGATGGCTTGAAAAAATCTGTGAAAAACACAGTAAGTATTTTATCCTGAGAAATTGTTTCTTTATGGATTCGTTTCTTGTCAGGCCTAAGACTTTATGCCTTATCCTCTTTATCTTGGACATTAAGATATAACATTCTTGTCCTCAAATAACTAACCATTTAATGTGTGTGTGTGAGAGAGAGAGAGAGATGCTAAAATCTGTGCAGTACGAACAAGGCAGATATGCAGTTCTAGAGAGGCTTTCAGGCAGAATGTTTCCCAAATACATAGTTGTGGTGAGTTTGAGGGGAGTTTAAAGCTGATCAAGGGGAAAAGACAGGGCCGTGCGATAGCAATATTGTACCACAAGCTGCTTTCAGAGGGTAGTCTCTTACAGCAGGAGGACTTCTAGGACAAATGGTGAGGAAACTACCGAAAGGGGAAGAGAGCAAGGAAACACCTGAGTAGAAGGAAGAATGGGGCACTTGTGATGTCCTGCGACTGGAGGTGGGCGGTCTCTGGATCAGCGAATGCTCAGAGACAGCAGCAACAGGGGTCCTCATAGCTATAAGGTGTATCTTATTTATGAGCAGCAGATATTGGGCCCAGTTTACCACTCAGGTGTCAGATTGTCATGTGATAGTGGCTTGTGTGTTGCTGTCATGCTGGAAACTGTGCCCTTGGTAGTTCCCATACCAGCCAAATCCCCCAGAGTGTGCAAGTTACAGCGGTGCTTCCAGACTAACACAGTCTGGGAAGAAGGAAGAGGCCGTTCACTTCTGAAAATTTTGCCACTGAAAATCTTATGAATTGTAGCTGAACGTTGTCTGGTAGAATACCAGAAGATGAGCTGCCTCCTCAACATGAAGTTGATCTTAATGAAACGCTAAAGCAAAGCCTTTGAAACTTGCATTTCCTGATGTGGCACAATGCAAACGAAGAAGAGACCGCTGTACACATCCATTAATAATTAGAATGCGGGATGTTCAAGGTATGAATCTAGGAAAATTGGAATTCAGAAATGAAATGGAACATGTAAAGATTCATATGTTAGGCGTTAGAGCTGAAATGGACTGGTATGGGTCATTTTGAATCAGACAATCATATAATCTATTATGCTGGGAATGACAAATCGAAAAGGAACAGCCTCATATTCATTGTCAAAATGAATATTTCAATACCTATCTTGAAGAACAATATGTTTGTGATGACATAATATCCACATACTTATAAGGAAAGGCAGTTAATATGACCATTAGTCAAATTTACAGACCAATCACCAATGATAAAGGAAGTGAAATTGAGGATTTTCACCAACTTCTGCAGTCTGAAATTGGTCAAGCATTGACAACTACTGGTGACTGCAATGTGAAACTTGGAAACAAAGAAACTAGGCAGCTGTAAAATATGGCTTTGGTGGTCTAAATGATGCCGGAGTTCCCATGATTGAATTTTGTAAGACCGAAAATGTATTTATTGAAAATACCTTTTTTTTTGAGCTATAAGTTAGCCAAACCACAGAGAAGTGAAACAACAGAGAAATGGAGCAAGAGCCCTGGTCAGTCATGGACCTCTGAATCAAGCCTCCTTGGAAGTCAGAGGGGAAAAGGGGGAAGAAAGAAAATACCGTTTTTCAACCCCATAAACAATAGCTACAGACATGTCTCTCACCAGATAGAATCCACATGAATAAAATCAACTATATGTGTGGAAAGAGACACTGGGAAAGCTCAGTATCATTAGTCAGAACAAGACCAGAGACCACTGTGAAACAGACCATCAATTGCTTAGATGCAAGTTAAAGTTGAAGCTGAAGAAAATGGAAACAAGTCCCTGGGAGCCGACATATAACCTTGAGTCTATCCCACCTGAATTTGGTGACCATCTCAAGAATAAACTTGATGCAGGGAATACTAATGATTGAAGACCTGATGAGATCAAAGGCATTATACATTTGGGGGCTTGCACTTAAGTCTAGCCTCAATTGAAGAACACTTTAATTCTTATGACATTTCCCTGCTTCAATGCGCATCCTTACGAAGAGAACAATGAAGATATGGGTGCTATAGCAAAATGTGGTGAAAAAACAGATGGTGTCCAGCTATCAGAAGGAATAACATCTCGGGTTTTAAAGGCTTGTCTTCATACAAGTAACCCTCTAAATGAGGTGTCAACTAAGTCTACATGGAAGAAGCACACAAGCCTGTGTGATTCAAGGATTGTAATAATAAAATCCCAATCTGAAGGAGGGAATGGTATCGGTATTTAAATTGTGAACACCTAGTTTTCAAAAGGCTATGGATGACAGTGGAAGCCCAAAATCCATTTGTAGGATCCACACATGGATTAAGCATCAGTGAATCCCCTCTGACCATAGTTGAGGGATGTGCATTGCCTTGTTATAAGACAGAGAGCATTGTTTAATTGATTATGGCACATGTAGTTAGGTTAAAGTGTAATATCATTTGATCTCCTTTTTGATCCATTTTAAAGTTTTCACTTAAAAAAAAGTGAAAGGAAAATATAGGTGGATTAAGCTTCTGGGGAAATCCCCTCTGGCCATAGACCAGAGATGCAAATAGCCTGGCTATCATGCAGGATGTACTGGAAAGTGGATTATTGCTGATGCGGTTAGGTTAAAATTTAACACTTTATCATTTTATCTTCCTTTTGACCCATTTTTTACTTGATCTAGTTTTCATTATTTTCTGCTTTCTTTTTGATTAAGGTTTTTCTATTTTTTTTACTTTGTTATTGTTTGTAGTTTTTGTTTTCTTTTTTAATTTTTTTATGTGGAATCCAGGATAGGCAAATCTATAGAGACAGTAATTGAACTAATGATTCCTTTGGGTGGGGAAGGTGAGGGGGAAATGGGAAGCTAATCATGCTGAGTACAAGAATGAAGAAAGTGTTCTAAAATTGATTGTGGTGATTGTATAACTCTTCTTGATACGATTGAACCATGGTATTGATGGCTTGTGAATTATATGCCATCAAAGGCTCTTTTTAAAAAATAAACAACAAAAACATCATACATGAAGAAACCAAAAGACTCATTAAAAAGACAGTAAATAAAGAAAAGACAAAATTGGATGTCAGAAATTACTCTGAAACTTACTCTTTGGCATATAATGGCTAAAATGAAAAGGAAAAAAAAAGCTTAAGTAAAAGAGTTGAACAGAAGATTTCAAAGGCTAGGTCAGGTAAGGTCAAAATAAAGGGTTGTAATGCGATGTGCCAAGAGTTGAGGTTAGAATAGCACAAGGGTATTTTAGTGGGAGTAATTATGAAAGCACTCATTATTTCTCAAGCTGAAAGAAAACAATTCAAGCACTATATTGAAATATTGAAATATTCTACGAGCAAAGTATTGAACGATTTAGGAAGCACTGAAAGATGGCCAATTTAAGAGAGGATTTAAGGAATACAGAGTCACTATACCAAAAAGAATTGATGACATTCAACCTTTTCAGGCCAAGTATTTGGCCAAGAACTGATAGTATTGAAGCCAGAAGTCCAACTAAGCTTCAGGAATTGCTGGATTACCGATTGAGATGTTTTAACAGATGTATGACAATGCTGGTAGCGTTCACTTGTCTTAGCCCTGAAATTTGGAAGTCCAGCAATGGCACCTGGCCAACCAGCTGGAAAAGATCCATATTCATACCCATTCCAAAGAAAGGTGATCCAACAGAGTATGGAAATTATCATTAATATCACACACAAGTAAAATTTCACTGCAGATAATTTTGCAATGGTCGCAGCTGTACAAGGGGATACCCCAGCCCCCCCCCCCCAAAAATTGCACTGTGTGGAGCGGAGCTTTCATAGTACACAGTTTTTCCTGCTATGTGAGCATCGAGCAACTCACTCTGAGTTAGTGTACCTAGTGCTGTCACCTGGGAAGGTTCTCTCTGGTCACAGTGAATTTTTTCGTAAAAGCAGTTTTGCTTGAACCTCGTTTTTTGTGCTGGCCAATTTAAGAGAGGATTTAAGAAAACAGCATGCTGCTGTGAAATTTTGTTTCCTGCTTGGGAAAAATGCCACAGGAACTGTTGTGATGTTAAACACATCTTAAAAGGACAGAGCTATGGGAAAAACTCAAGTGTACAAGTGATTTTCTCGTTTCAAAAAAGGTGAAATGTCGATTGATGACAAACCTTGTTTTGGACACCCTTCAACTTCCAGAATAGACAAACATGTCTCCTCATAGTGCATTTGGAGTTCATTCCACCAGATTAGACTGTTCATCAAGCTTTATAGTTAGAGGTGCTAAAAAGATTGCGTAACAGTGTGCTCCACAAAAGGCCTGATTTGTGGCAGAGAGGGGCTTGGTTTTGCCACCATGATATGCACCTGCTCACACAGCCATCTCAGTGTGCCCATTTTTTTGGCAAACAACAGCATGCTTCTCTTACCCCATGCACTTTACACACCTGACCTTGCTCTGTGTGACTTCTTTTTGTTTCCGCAAATGAAGAGGAACATGAAAGGATAGCAATTGGATGACATAGAAGAGGTGAAGTAAAAAATGAGGGAGGTGCTGTCAGCGATCTCCAAGAATGGAATTGCAGATTTGACAAATGTATTAAGTATAATGGAGAGTACTTTGAAGGTGATAAGGTTTTTTCTTGTGAAAAACATTTTTTTTAAATACATAGCTTTGGGGAAAAACAAAAGAGGCAACTTCCAGAAATTCAAGTCACAGAAGAGGACATGGAATAAGAGATACACTTATTGATGTTAGATGGATCTATCTGAAAATAGAAAATATCAGAAAGATTTGTATGAATGTTTAATTGACTATGCAAATGAATTCGACTATGTGGATCATAACAAACTATAGATAACAGCAAAAAATGGAAATTTAAGAGAACTTAATTGTGCTTTTTCAGAACCTGTCCATAGACCAAGAAGCAGTTGTTCAGAAGGAACAAGGGGGATACAGCGTGGTTTAAAATCAGGAAAGGTCCTGGAGTGAACCCCAATAAAAATGCTTCAACTTTTATACCTGGCCATATGTTGTAGTTGTGGAAATAGTTGGGGAGGAGGCAGTTCTTAATTTCCTGAGTCTGGGTGGATGGGATGCCACTGTGCATTGCTTGGCTGTAAACGCCTTGTGTGTTTGCTCCTAAATTTTACCCGTGGGTCCACCTGCTGCTGGAACAACAAATAAAGCCAACACATATAAAAGTTTTTTTAAAAATCAGGAAAGGTGTATATCAGACTGGATCTGTATGCTGGGCAAATAGTCTGAGAAATTGGGCCATATGAAGAAAAATAATCAAAGATATGGCGTCTGGTTGTATCTGTGTTAGGAGTTTATAAAATGTTAGTTGATCCGAGGAGTCTGTGGGTCGCCAGTTGGGTAGAAGGGAAGAGATTATCTCAAGACCTAGAGACCATGTAAAATGAGAAGGGGAGATGGGCACGTTTCTGTTGGGAGAGTTTGCCAGTGTTGAATGCTACTTTCTGCTTCACACTTGGAGGCTACCTCTAGATCTGCATTTTTCTAAGTGAGCTGCAGGGCAAACTAGCAGAAGAGGAATGTTCGTTGATTTTGTAATAACAAAAGGGCTCCATAATGTCAAAAACGCTTGGAAAGCCAGCCTTAAAGTGAAGGAGGATGTATTTTGCAGTTTTGTTTTCTACCATCTTCTGCCTAATGTCGATCTTACAGGGCATGATAGAATCGCTCCTTAAGGGCTCAGAGGATGTGAACATCTTTACAGAGTAGACAGCCTCGTCTTTCTTCCACGGAACAGCTGGTGGGTTTGAACTGGGAGCAGTCTATTGCCTAACTCAGAGCACCACCATCAGGGCTCCTTTTATTTATTTTTTAAAAAACTTTTCTTATGTCTTTTAAAGAGGAGCCTTGGTGGCATAGTGCTTATGCATTGGGTTCTGATCCCCAATGTCAGCAGTTCAAAACCACCAGGTGCTCCGGGAGAAAAAGACCATGGCTTACAATTCCCAAAACCCACAGGGGTAATTCTTTTTTTTTTTTTTT